AAAAAAAACAAAAATAAATACCCCTCCTATTCATTATATACTTGATTACGCGTTGGTTATATTTTGGCTAACTGTCACTGAGGAATTGGCCAATTGTAAAGTTCCTTAGATTGGCTACTTTGGCAGGCATGCTGGTAGTAGTGGATTAATGTATATATATATATATGTGAGTCGGAAAGGCAAACAACACTGGCACATATGAATCCAAGCTTCATTGTGCATGTTGAATTCCAATGTGCACACAGAGTGCGTGACCCCCTGGCACGCGCACTGGTTGCTCACGATTATGCTAGCTGCTAGAATCTACCCACCTCAATCGCATCGGACAAACCATGTGCCCAGTCGTAGGAAGGGTAGATTGGCCACTGGCAGGACATGGCTTGACCAAACCCGCAGTGGCAAACAACCACCAGGGGAAAGCAAAAGAAAGGCAAGGGAACATGTCTGCCTCATTGCCAGTTCGAGGATGAGGTGTGTCAGGAAGAATTCGGTACATGATGGGATCCCGCCTCAGCTCCAGCGCATTACATCACATCAAGTCCACTCTGACTCTTTCCCTGTGGGCCTGGCATGATGACATTTGGATGGCTCATGTCAATCTTGGCCCGCAGCACTGCAGACCCCTGTGGCCAAAAAAACAACCAAGCGTCCTATAGTATCTAGTATCATACAGCTTCAACTAAAAGATTCTATATATAGTGTTGCGTCAAACACTCCACAGCATACCATGCCGGTATCTACTTCTCTACCATGATCAATGATAATCTATGATCGCATTATATTGCAGTATCAGTATCGTTGCTGAAACCTCAAAGCATCGCAGCCTGGGCCATGCCACCCGCCCTCATTTGGCGAAACAGTTCCAGGCCTTGGTCGACCACATCTGCGAAGCCCGACCCGGAGGATCGCTGCAAGTCTGCGAGGCAAGGGACTTTCTTCCGCCGGCCGGTCCCGGAAGGGACTGTTTTTGCCCGGCCTACGACTCCACAAACGCAAGACCTCCAACCCAATAGCGATGGCCTCCAACCTACTAGTAATGAACCCTATATTTTTCAATCTATATAATAGTAATGGCCTCCAACCTAGAAGCGCAAATGAACAATAGCACACAAAACTCATCAGCTATTCTCTCCGTTGCTTCTTCGCCTTGTCACTGAGCCTCGATATTCTGAGATGTCCTGCGTTATCTGGCATTGGAGCCATCAAACATCGTCAAACACAAGCCTTGCAAGTCTCAGCACATTTGGTGATGCATACTCCTCTGCGCTGAGTTCATCTACATAAGCGAGTCCTGCAGGGGTCTGTTCCACATTTCTGAGCAGTGCAAGGATAAAACAAAATGGTCCTCGGTCGATAAATGCCTTCATGCAAAAGTTCCAAAAGTGAGGTGCACATGCCAGGATTCCAAGAAACATCTTGACAGGCCTCTCCCCATCTGTACAGCTGCTGAAAATAGTCAGAGGCATACCTCTCCTTGTTGCTCCAAGTGGCAGTCGGAGCACACAGCGATGCACACAGCGATGCGCAGCGGAATCAGAGTTGCTGTGATAGGTTAAGGAAGTTTGTTTCTTGTTACTAGTAGCGATGCCAGGAGCCCCTAGTAGCGTCCTTGCTCCTAGTAGTAAGGCCAGGAGCCCCTAGTAGCTTCTTGTTACCCGTGAAGTTTCCCTAAAAATCTAGGAACCAAATCATTGGTGCGAGCGCTTCTTCAAGGAACCGTGAGCTATCCTGCATCTAGTTACTAGTAGCTTCTCCTTGCTTAATTAACTATATAGTAGGCGCCTACTTAGTTACGTGAGGAGGCAGGGCCATGGGCAAAACTATAAAGAGTAACCCTTGTAACAAGAAGCTACTAGGAACAAGTGCATCGCTTCTAGTAACAAGTGCCTTCCTAGTAACAATGTTCGCTATTTTTCTTCTTCAGTAACCACTCTTGTTGCTCCAAGAGTCGGAACCATCCCATTCAAATCCAAGCCACCTCTGCGACACTCGTGGACCGCGACTCGCGACTGGCGACTCGACTCCGATTTTGTGCGGCCAAACGCCTCACATCTTCTTTGATGTTGTCAATGTAGACCTTCAAAACACACAAGCAGTTATGCTAACAAGCTCTATGATTAACTTGCAATGCAGTTTGTTTCATGTTTTTTTGTCAGGCCTGCTTTTCACTCTCGGGATTGGTGTCATCGAATCGGAGGTTGCAAGAGCCCCCAAACTTCTCTGCCTAGGCGGCTGCAAGTACATCTGCTTGTCTTTCCATGCCAGCTAAGATGCCAGCTATTCCAAAATTGAGGCAAATAGACTTCACATGGCCTTTGCCAGACTGTCTTCCAACAAGGATTACACTCTGTTTTGAACTTGATTAGGTCAACTAAAGGCAGGACCTATGTGAAGGAAGCCGTTGGGTTCAGGAGGAAAACGTGTTCTGACTCGACCTGGGGAAATGAAACAGAATGACAAACGCTCGGCACTTGAGTCAAGTCATGGCCTTGATACTTCTTCGTTTTGAGGTCCGTCAACACAATGTCCTGCAGCTTCAGGCGAACAAACAGTCTGAAACATCCAGATTCATTGTGTCCGGTTGTGTTTTGTTGCATCGATTTGGTGTCCAAACCTCCACAAGGTTTCCAGCTTCCACACCCTCTTCTGCCGCCTTCCACAAGTACATCAGCAACTTGCAAGGTTTTGAGATTAGATCTGGAAAAATAGACATTCGCTCAAATTCTGAACCTAAAGGGTTCACATTCTCATTGCCCAGCGCCTTTAAACTTGCATTCTTTCGAAAACTACCTCAAAGGAGTTGAAAGTAACGTCTGGAAACGGACGGACTAGTTCTCATGAGGATTGGATGGAGTGGAAGCGGAATGAAACAACTCTCTCTCTCTCTCTACTATATGAACCGAATTCGGGCCTTTGTTGAGCAGGCTGCGCGATCTCCAACCACGTTGGACGCGGCAGCCGCCTTTGCACAAATGATCATTCTATGCAATTCAATCATTTACAGCCAAGGCAGTCGCTGAAAAATATCGCAGTGCAAACTACCTGCACAAAAACACGGTATATCAATGTATATCATTTCAATTTCTGCATTATGTCACTGCATGGCATGAACATGATCCGCTCGGACAAAGGCCGATTCAAACTACTTCTGTGCCTGGGAAATTCGATTGGAACGTGGCAAACTTGCTATCCTGAAGTCGCTTACAAGTCAGAAATGTGCCGGCTGTCATGTTGGATGTCTTTGGACAGTCCGACCTGGCTTTGCCACCTTTACATGTGGTGGGCAAACCTCAGCCGCAGAGTTCAAACAGAGTCAACCAACTCTGTTATGTGGCCGAGGGGTTGGCAAATTCGCCATTGGGAAAATTGAGGTGATCTTGCCAGCATGGGTTTTGATCTATGGTGCAGGATTACTGATAAACAAATTGCAAAGGTGTCATTTGTGGACATGCGAGAACCTCAGATAATTTATATACATCGGCCAATGAACAACTTGACCTACTGTCCAACCAAAAAGAATGACTAGCATGTTTGCTGATGCTGTTAGTATTCCTTTGAACTTCGAGCCACCAATTTTAAAACGATAAAGGTGTACGTCCTGCCCCCCACCTTCATTAAAGAACACAAACAGCAAAGCCATGCAAGGGCCAAACCTCGGCCACTGAGTGTGCAGAGCCGCAGCCACTAAGTGTGCAAATGGCAGCAAATCAAAACATAATGAAGCCAACATTAACATTAGATTTTGAAGTGCCACATGTTTTTTTCGTCACGACTGACAGAATCTTCGACTTTTGGATGAAATCCTACGCAAAGCAGCAGTGCTACACCCTGGACACCACGGTCGCGGAGTTGCTTGGCTTTGCACTGTGCAGTTTTTTCCGGTCTTTGCCAGAACTTTTGGTCTTGCTCTTTGGCAATCCCTTCACGGAAGCGTGGAGTGTCCTCTTCAAAGAACTAGGGTCGAGCTGTTGATCTTGCTCCAAATGTTCGGCTAATTCAGCGTCCAAGGCATCGAACTTGGCATCTCGACCGCACGTCCTCTCTTCCTTCGCATCCTTCTCTCTCGGAGTGTCAGATGCATCTGTCTCACTTTCCGTCTCAGTGTCTTGACTCACATCATCTGGGACAACAGCGGCAGCTGGGGCAGCTGAGGCTGGAGGTGGCAGCTCAATGTGCTTCATCAACGCATCGGAAGTCGTCTCTCTCTGGGCGCGAGGTCGCGTCTCTCGTTCTCTGGGTGCCTCAACCCCAGTTGTTGGCACTTGCCTCCCTAGAATCTGGGGAGGAACATCATGCGTTGTTCTGTTTGCTGTTGGATCTTTTGCCTTCCCATCTCTGAGTGAAGCCGGGTCCACTTCGACGTTTTGGGACCTGGACGGCGCTTGCCCGGACTCTGTCTCCAAACTCCGTGCAGCCTTCCGCAGCGTAGCCTCAGAATCCTTCGAGCTTCTCGAGCCTCTGCGCGAACCACGGGCAGAGAGCAGTTTCAGCCGATCTTCAGGGTCTATCTCCGCAGCCAGTGAACCGTATGCACGGGCCAAATGGTCAAGGTCGTCATCCGCAGCTGACGTGACTTTGGCATAGTTTGGTTGCACATTGTTTCCCTGGGCCTTGCGGGATGCAAAAGGGTCAAGCCGTCCTCAGCGCCAAGAACGAATGCATCAAGCCTGAACTTAACTAATCTTAACTGTCATAATTCATAAACAAAGAACACCCTGTGCAAGGCCAAAGCATGTCAAAACAAAGCTATAGCTTGATGGCATCAAGCAAGGGACGGATGGGGGCCTGGTATCCTGTCAGCAGGATCCTGTTCAATTTGGGCTCTGTCGCTTCCACCTCAGTATGGGTGAAGCTCTTCCCACACCGAACTGGCGCTTCCAACTTGGCTCCTACCTCCAATGCAGGTCCAGCATGGGCTAGTTCCCTCAAGCCTAAGCATTCCAATATTCCAGAAAATGGTATGACTCTCAGGGAGAAAATGTGCGAAATACCGTGACGGTTATCAGCTTCCTTAGCATTGTTACAATCTATCCAGCAGTTGGTAGGCCACAATAATCTTTTGGCCGGCATAAGAAGGAAGGTGCATGACCGATGATGAAGTAGCCTTTTTTCCATGTGGGATGTCGGTCTGGGCTCTCGGGCGGCTTCTGCGAGAGAAATCATGACAGCAGCAAATTCCAGCACAAATGACGACACAAAATCCTGAGCTGGTTCTAGTGGCAAACAGTAGTCAGTAGTTGCAAAAGAACTGGCGTGGCCACTTTGCTGGTTTGACACAATCAAGACTTTGCTCTTTCTTCCCATATGTTGGAGTACAACTTTCACAGGGAAATCATTCTTCAGAACCTCCTGTATCAGTCCTGAACACCCCAGCGCCAGCACCAGGGCTTGCCTCAAATTGCACATTCATCCGAGGCCATCTAAGCTCCATCCATCCCATCCGTTCACCAAATCCAATCCATCTGGCTGTTTCATCTCCCTCAACCCAGTCCATCGAGCTTCATATGAAAACCAACGGGATACCAAGGGGAAAACCATCCAAGGAGTCCCACCCGCGCCTTTTTGCAGTGGAAAGCAGTCGAGCCGGTTGGTGGTCTACAAGAATCTGCTTGGGGATATAGAATAGCACATACGGCACACATTTTTCAACTCAGAAAGGTGTGTATGTATATATATACAGTCATATATATATATATATAATACATCGATAAACGAGTTTGGACATGCATCTGTATATAGACATAGCCATCCCCGTATAACTTGAATTGAGTGGCTCATTTGCCATTGGGGCCACAGTGCGCACGGAGACCCAAGCGCAACATCTTGGTTTGTGAAACGCATTCTTTCGGTGTCACTGTGGCAGTCAATCGTTGTGGCAGGATTCTCACGCTTCTGCCGAGTGAATAGTTGGAAGAAAAATACTGGTGCTGACATGGCATTGTAAGACGTAGTAAAACCAACTATCTTTCAACCTGTCGCTCTGTCCTATTGAACCCTGTCTGAGGGTCTTGATAACGGGGATCAGGATCAAGCTCAGCCATGATGGTAAAACATGAGGCCACATGATTCCAATTTTCATGGCATGCAAAGTTTGCTTTGTGTTTCCCCAGTGTGCGTTTTACAGACCCTTTTCATACCGCGGCGCGTCAATCCTTGGACATTAGTAACTGGCAGCCACTGAAGGCACTTCGTTTCATGAGGTCCGCAATATTGAAGGCACTGCAATGAAGGCGCTTGAGAATGAAGCCTTGGCCGACAAAGTTCTCTATTTTGGTTCCCGACTCTAAGCCTTGGCCGCCCAGGAAGTTGGATGAGGGGCCTTCAAACATGAAATCTGGTGAATCAATTGTGAAAAAACTAGATTGTGGAGCACTACCTGGGAATGACAAAGGTTCCTGTAAGCTTTGAACCCTCTGTTGGTAATCAATTCATCTGCTGGCTCTAAAGAGATCCGCAACTTACTTCCCAGCAGCTTGCAAGAATTGATAGGTCAAATCCAAAGAAGTGGCATGCCAGGTGACGGCACATTGGAACCAGACACCAAAAAACGACGAGGCGAGACAGGGCTCCGTTCTGATCCCATGTCTCACAACTTGGGAGGAGTGCACCAGCTCCAGCTCCCTTTACGACTGCACCTGCGATGCCTTTGTGATGTTTGTGCTGCCAAACATGCAATAAGTGCGGAGTGGTATGGGCTCAAAACAAACGGCGCTGCCAGCGAAAGCTCTGCTTTTGCGATCGCGGCTTGATCAAGCTTCGGTATGTACCGACATGCATCACAACACACCACCCTGTACCAGCAACCGTCACTTTCCACATTGGGAGAGAAACGTGTTGGTGTGTTGCTCTTGCAAATTAAAGCATGGCGCTGCCATACTGTACAGTGGCCCAGCCACAGTGCATTGGCTCTGCCAAGCTAGATGGTGCCACCATCTTCTTTGATCGCTCCTTGCGACGTTCTCGTTGTCCCTTCCGTAGCTGCTTCCGGTGTTCCTCCGTCGCCTTCTCCTCCGCGGTCTCTTTCAAGCTGATGGTCTTTCTGGTCTTTCTTGTGAGATATTCTTCCCACAACAGATTGCGCATGGCTTTGGTGAGGCCATCTGCGTGTTGTCTGTGAGTGGGGACCCAGTACAGCTTGAACACCTCCTGTTCTAGCAGATCCTTGGCCACCAGAAGATCCAGCGTAGTCTGGCGTTCTGAAGGAATCTGCCCTGTCGTGCACATGTGGTCGTACAGCGACTTTGCGTCCGTAACGACGCCGCCGCCTACCCTCAGGCGTGCCCGCCATTCTGATCCAACCTCAAAGACTCCATGCAGCATCATGTCGGCAATGAGGCGGACGTAGAGGTGTCTGTCCACCGCGAGGCTGAGTGAACAAGATTCCGCGGCCATTGAACTCCTGACCACCCTGCTGCTCTTGTTTGTCGTGTAGTCCACTGCTGCAGCGGGTTGAGGGCCCTTCGAGACTTCCTCGTTTGTCAGGAAGTGCACTGCCCCAAGTTGTGACTTGCCGTCCTTCTCCTTGCCGAGGGACGTGTCAAAGTAAGTCACCACAAAAAGCTTGCCATGTATCTTGGGGTATGGAAGCACGGCACGACCTTGCTTTGCTTCCTCCTTGCGCTCCTCATAAAGTTGCAATGCCGCCTTGTAGTCACCCATAGTGGCTCGTGTGGCATGTTGTGCCAACTTGCTGACCTTGTACAGCACCTGAGGCATCGATTGCTGACCTGGCCATCGTAGCCTCATCACCAGCTGTCTGTATGCTGTCAGCTGCTGTGGATTCAACGGAGTGTCATTCTTGGCATTGAGCTTCATGTCCGGCAATGCGATCTTGCTGATGTAGTTGGGCATGTCATCATAAAGCTCTCCATGCCGTTCCTTGAGATCCACGCCCAAAAAGGTCAAGGGAATGGACTTCCACTCCTTGATCGTAAACATGCCATTGATATCTTTCTTGAGCTTCAGGAAACGATTGTCCTGCTCTGAACCGAATAGAAGGCCATCATCAACATGAAGATTGAGCAGTGCCCATGCTTGGGTGTCGTCAGAAGCCACGAAGCTGCTCTTGCTGATCGGCAATTCTTTCAACGGTGTGGATGTCAACAATTTACTCGCCCTCAAGTACCAGAGTCGAGGGCTTTCAACAAGACCGTAGGCTGAGCGCAAGATCTGCATCAGCTCGCCACCACCCACGGCTGGCTCTGCATCCACTGCTGGCAATCCCTCCTCAGGAGCTCGCACGTACACGTTGCGTTGTAGATTCTCTCCTGATAGGAAAGCTGTGGTCACGTCAACGGAGTATCCCTTCCAGCCGTTGTGAACTGCACTGGCCTTGGAAATCCTCACCGCTTGCAGCGTGGCCGTCGGGCTGTCACTCCTGAAATGGCCGAGGCCAGGATCACGGTGTCCGGGAACAACCAAACGTGACTT